GTGCCTGTCCTCCTGTACCTGTCCTCCTGTGCCTGTCCTCCGCTACCTGTCCTCCCGTGCCTGTCCTCCTATGCCTGTCCTCCTGTACCTGTCCTCCTGTACCTGTCCTCCTGTGCCTGTCCTCCTATACCTCTTCCCTGCTGTTGCTGTTGTTGATGATGTTTTGCTTTTTGTTTGTTTGGTTTGGTTTTTTAGACAGGATTTTTCTGTGTTGCCCAGGTTGTCCTAGAACTCTTAGTTCTGGACTAAGAGTTCTGGACTCAGCAAGAATTACCAGTGTGACCCACTATACCCAGCCTGGAGTAGTTTTTTGATGAAGAAAAACAATTTGAAAAACTGTCATGTAAGGGCTGAGAACATGGCTCATTGGGAGACAATGCTTGTGGGATACACATGGTAGAAGAAGAGAGTGACATCCTAAAAGTTATCTTTTTACCTCCCTTCACACGTGAACCATGACATGTGTGCACTCATGCTCACAAACAGATAGAAAATAAATGTATCTGTTTGTTTGACACAGGGACTCACCATACAGCTCTGTCTGTCTTAGACTTTACCTTTTAGAGCAGACTGGACCCACAGTGGTCTGCCACTTCTGCCTCCCAAGTACTGGGGTTAAAGGTGTGTGCCACTAAGCCTGGCAATAAATGTAATTTTTAAAAACTGCCGTTCAAAATTATTTAAACAGTTTTTTAGTCAAAACCTTTAGTTTGAAATTGCATTGACTGGAACTTCTTAAAAGCTGTATGGCCTGGCTCTTTATGTCTGTGGTTCCTGCCCCAGGCGAGTGGAGGAGTTCAAAAGTTGAAAATCTTAATATTTGGGGGGTGAGAGGTACAGTTGGAGAGTAATTCCAGTCAGGTCCTTGTTTGGATCTTACTAAATCTCCTGTTTTTGTGTCCTTTCTTTCCTTGTCTCTGGCTCCTTAAAGATGTTCCATTGTTTAATTCATGTTTTAATTTACTTTCTCACTTCCCAAAGAAGAATAATTAATTTGTTTTCAAAATGTGTTCATCTTTATCTACGTGTATTTAAGCATTCTGTTTTGGACGTGCTGGCCAGATGTAGATAGGTACTTCAGCTGCAAACCTCCAAGGTGAAAACTGCTTTTAGGGCAAGCCAGTTGTAAAAGCTTAGGTTTGTGGAGAGTCAAGTATGGGGGCAGCTGACAGTGAAGAGACCCTGGACGCTCACCTGCTGTAAATTCCCCAGGGAGTCAGTGGGAGGCTATGATGGGCTGTTTACTTTTCAGAGTGGTTAGAGGAACATCAGAAATAGGCTTCCTCACCCCTGCCTGTCAGCCCGTGGCTTAAGTACTGTGTTCAACTGGAGTTCTGAATTTTTAATGAATTCGGTGTACCCTACAGAATAAGCCATTTTGCAGGCACCAGGCACATTTGGAGAAACCAGTAGTATTTGGCCTCGAAAAGAGGAAAAGGGGGTTATCATTGTCCATCCGTTACTTGAAGATTAAAGCTGGCAAGAGTAATGGAAGGGGGATGAAGAGATGACTCAGCGATTAAGAGCACTAGCTGCGCTTCTAGAGGACCCCGGTTCAATTCCCAGCACCCCCATGGCAGCGTCCGTAACTCCAGCTCTAGGAGTTCCGACACCTTCACACAGATATACATGCAAGCAAAATATCAATTTACATAAAATAAAAATACTTAAAAAAAAAAAAAAGAAGGCAGGAGAGTTTATAAGAAAATACTGGTTCACTGTGACAACTTTGGGAACCGCCCAGCAGCTGAGCAGGCTGCTCTCAAGGTAAGTAATTAGGCAGAGGAGCTGCTGGGGACAGGGACAGAGTGCATCTGTCCAAAATGTCCCTTGACCTCACTGGCTTAACTGACACCCGTAGGTGTAACCTGTTGCCCTTTCTCTCCCCCTGTCCTTCAGTACATGGAGAAGAGGACCAGGAGCAGGGAGCACGGTGCTGAGATGCGGAAGAGACTCTCTGATCTGCCAGAGGAAGAGGGAAGATAGCTCATTGTGGCTCGGAGACCTGAAGATGGCTGCTAGCCGGAAAACGTCCCTTCTCTTTGGGTTCTCTTGAACCCTTTTGAATGAAAAGTGATCTGTGAAGAAGCAGCTCATGGAGAGCCATGAGACTGTGGATTCTCGGTAGTTGTTGAGTAAAAGCCTTTTGTGCCATGGACTGTGCCTGCAAGACAGTTTCCTCTGCTGCTGCCTGAGTCTGTGTCCACCCAATACTGACTTGCCTCCTGCAATAAAGTCATCAGTGCTGGCCTCCCTTTTCTTTAACCCTCTCATGGCTGGAGCAAAAGTGGTGCCAGTTAGGTTCTTCTTTTGGAGAACATGGTGGTTGAAGACGGGGCACCAAAGACACAAACTAGCATGGGAATTGCGGGGACATTCCAGCAGAGTTGACTGTGCAGAAGTTCCCAGTTTTATTGTTTTAAAGAGCCGTTTTCTGAAAGGTCAGATGTTTCTAGTTAGCACGTAGATTATGGATGGAAAATATTTGAAAAAAATCAGCCATGCAGTGGACATGTACGAGTTCCCGCCATTCTTTAAGTAATACATCGAAACCACCACTTATACAGTCTATCTACCAGGCACTAAGTAAACTAGAACTGCTGTGGCCCCAGGTGGCAGCGTGTAGGCTTTATGCAGATACTTTGCCTTTAAGGGACTTGAGCCTCTGCAGGTTTGAATGGGGGAAGGGGGCAGTCCTAGAAACAGTAGTGCCCCAGACCCCAAGAGTGATGACTAAGGTGGATAAGAGTGCATCCAGTTAGGGCCCCATCAGACTCCACTTCCTCATTTGGTTAGATGTTCCCGTCCTGGGAACCAGTTAACTCCTGGGTTCTAGCCTAGAACCTCAGGACCCTTCATGTGTCCACTCCCCCCTTCCTCCCCCACCTCATGATTACTACTTGCAGCGGTTTGACAGACGTTGCTGTAAGTTTCCCGCAGTGTTTGTGTGTAATGTTTGTATGAGACCTTGGTCTTTAATAAATGATTTTCCTATTGCAGGAGAAGCTGGACATTCAATTTACAGGGTGGCTAGACAGGATAACACAGCTGATGAAAGGGGTGGGGACGGAACCAGAGCTCTTCATGAGTCCCTTTTATGGCAGCTGATAGGGGTAGTTTTGTGTTAGTCTCTGTGAATACATAAGTGAGACATTTTGGTAGTAGAATCTTGTAGCAAACCAATACACTGACTGTTAGTCATAGTCCATTATAATTACAAAAGCCCCATGATTAGGGAGGTGTTAAAGAAAGCATAGCAAGGGCGCTTATGCTCGGGGACCACGGGACCACGGAGTCGTTCCAGGAAAGCTATTTGGTGAAGGTGACCTTTTGGCAAGATAAATGGGGATCCTCTCAGGACACCAGCAGGGCACCAGTGTGGCTGAGAGATGGAGCTGATGGTTGGGGGGGAACCTGTAAAGCTCTGAATTCTGTGAGTTTGTCTGTAGTACTTATTTTAAGTGTGGTAGTGAGGGATTTGGGGAGAACTTACAAGAATGAGCTGCTGTAATTTGAGGTTTGTTTTGTTTTGTTTTTTAATAGTTTGGGGACAAAATCATCTTGCTCAAGGCAGCCAGAACAGTAAGGGAGAGTCCAGTTGTGCTAATCAGGGAGCAGCTTGCCCTGCTCCCTGTGTCATTGCTTATTTACAGGAAAACGGATGTCAGACAGAGGAGTGCTGGTGACAGGAACTAACAGAATTTGCCTCTAGTGCTAACTGTAACACCTACTCAGAGCCACCAAGGATGGCTGGCCTGCCCTCTGTTTCAGTCCAAAAAGGCTTCGTGAGCAAGTCATTTTGTTGAAGAGCGAATAGCCGCATCCTAGGTAGGTTGAGGAAGGCAAATGAGGCCTAACTGGGTTTGTGGCCTGGGAGCAGAGTCCAGGAGCTCAGAGGCCTCTAGTCTTACACCAAACACCGAACACCGAACTCTTCATGATCACACCAGATTAGGAGCCAGCTGCAGCTCCAGTGGACTCTTACAGACAGCCACAGGCTGGCTCTAAGTTCATTAGTCATGCTACCTCAGCCTCTGGTTCTACTCTAATACTGGTGAAGGTTTTGTTTTTTGTTTTTGAGGGGGCCTCATGCTTGTTTATGTGTTCACTTGTGTGTATAGATGTGTGCATGTGGAAACTAGAGGTTGACAGAAGGTAAAGCAGTATAAGCCTGGGTGCTAAATAATCGGCAGACGGAAGTAGGAGCTAACTTGTGGGTGCGTGCCCACGAGCCCAGGGTCTTGCACGTGATAGGCAAGCACTCTTCCACTTGAGTTTCTCTCCAGCTGAGATAATATTCTTTTGCCTTAATGGATTTTGTCATCATGAGCAGTTTGATCAGGCTCAGTTTTGTCTCGTTTCCCGTCTGATCTAGGCCTTAGCTTCTCGTGCTGACACCTCTCACCCCTCAGAGCCACTTAACTAATCGGAACTTCTCATAGTGGTGGTCGTAGTGAGGTTCTGCAGAGGGTTGGAGGGTCCTACTCAGCATGATCCTCCTGCTCTGGTGGGGCTTCCATCTTGGCTGTCTGCACTGCTGCCTGGGAAGCCGTTCTCTACCACTGTGAGGTAAATACTCAAGGCCTTGGCATCGTGAGCTTGGTCTGTCTTGGAGCTTGAGGATGAGAAAACACTGTGGGGCTGAGCAGCATCAACAAGGCTGAGCAGGGCCTGGGGAGGGGAGAGGGGGCAGATCCATGCTGCCTTGGGAACCACAGCATGCAGCATAGATATTATACATATTATTGTATAGAATGCTTTTAAATAGGGATTGATCGTGACCTTCCTTGGATTTTATCTTTGTGCCTTCTGGGAAAAGAATGGTGATAGTTAAACTAACTCAAGCCAGTGACTGCCTGTCATATAGGGTTACAGTGAGGATTCACTGAGATGCAACGCTCAGTGAAGAGGGAACTCTGGCATAAAGCAAAGACTGTGTCAATATTGTTCTTGTGACTGCATACAAAGTAGGGTGTTGGAAACAGTTTTACCTTTCCGTAGTTTACACCATTTCACTTGCTCCACCTCATTTGGGCAGGAGTCCACAGATAGGGGAAGGGGCAGGGTGCATGATTCATTAGCAGACAGAAAGGGGCCAAGTCCATACCACTCCTCCTGTTCTAGTTTGCTTTCTATTGCTTTGGTAAGACACCATTGTAACTCGGGGAGGGGAGGGTTTATTTTGCCTTGCAGGTTATAGTCCATCATGCAGGAAAGTCAGGGCAGGAACCGAAGCAGAAGTCATGGAGTAATGCTGCTTACTGTCCTGTTCCTCCTGGCTTGCTCAACCTGCTTTCTTAAACAACTCGGTACCACTCCCCCAAGTGAGGCAGCATCCATAATGGACCCTTCCCGTATCAATTATGAATCAAGAAAATGTCTCACATGTTTGCCTAATGGAGGCAGTTTCTCAACTGAGGTTTCCTCTTAGCAAGTGTGGTGGTTTGGGTGAGTTGGCTCCCATGTTCTTGGACATTTGAATACTTGGTCTTTGGTTGTTGGCACTGCTGTGGGGTCCTTAGGAGGTATAGCCTTGGTGGAGGAAGTGTGCCATGTGGCTGGTGGCTTTGAGGTCATGTGGCATGCCTAGTTTGCTCTCTGTTTTCTGTTTGTGGTTTGAGGCCCGTGTTCTCAGCTTTGGACTCCAGCAGCCACACCCGTTGCTTGCTGCCCCTGCCATTATGGATACTAACCCTCTGAAACTATAAACCCCAAGTAAACCCTTCTATAAGTTGCCTTGGTCATGCTGTTTTATCACAGCTACAGAAAAGTAACTAATACATCCAATCACTCAAGCTTGTGTCAGGTTGAAAGACCAGCACGTACCCTCACCTGACCCACTCTCTTGGCTCCATAGCTCCCTCCATTCATGGATGAAAGGGCTGACCATCTCCTTCCAGGATCACACCGCCTTGGGTCCACACCATGGACCCAAGGTTCCCCTGATTTTCTTCAGCTTTCTTTAGAGGAGGATGAAATCTCCCCGTTACTCTTTCTAGAGCAAAGAAGAGTTTTGAAATTTTTGTCTCATGGTGACAGCAAGGAGCAGAAGGAACGCCCTGCTTTCTTTGCCTTTGGCATTGCTGGGTGCTGCAGATCAGTGAAGAGCTACTGGGAGGTGCTGAGAGTGGGGTCTCCTGACTGTAAGAGCAACTCAAGTCATCCTCTGAGGTTTAGCTTTCCCTCTGTGGGAACTGGGGAAGCATTCGGTCTGAGGGACACAGAGTAGGTGATCAGATTTACTTTCCAGCTGCCTGAGCCTTTGGGTCACAAGGTAAGTCTCTTGGAAGTTAAGGGACTCAGGCCAAGGTTTTCCTGAGAAACTTAATTTTGTTGAACACTGAGCCCTGACGCTCTGCTCATAACAAATTTACTAATGCTTACTGCAAGAAGCAGGAAAAATTTTATTTGAGAGTGAAGATAGAAAGCCAAGCTATTTCTGACCTTTTGTAAATGGAGTTTAAAATCGGGTTAATCACCAGGGGTTTTAGCTGAATGCAGAGTTTTCCTGAGAAATCTTGGCCTGAACCAAATAAACTGTGCCCCTGACTTGCCCGGTGGACAGAGGAGATCATTTTGTACTTGGCAAAGACAAACAAAACCTGTCCCACAGGCATGAAGGCACTGCCTTTTCTACCACCGCCTGAAGCAGATCGGTGCCTGTGAATGACTGTATCCAGCCGTCCACATTTGCCCATTTTATTTCTCTTGTCCACCCCATCCTCCCCTTTTTCTTTTCTTTTCTTTTTTTTTTTTTTTCTGGTGCTGGGGATATAAAAAACCCAAGGCTTTGTGCTTGCTAGGTAAGGACCTCACCACTGAGCTAAGTCTCCAACCCCTTAGATTCTCAGATTTGCCCATATGCTTCCTTAATCCGTAGCCTATCTGCCTCCTTGAGAAAGTTTACGGAAGGCACTCAGTACCCACAGGAAGAGAAGTGAAAATGCTGCGGTGGTTTGATGAAAAGCTTCTCATCTTGGGCGTTTGAATTCTCGGTCCCCAGCTGGGTGGGGGTGGTTGTTGAGAGCAGCAGGTGTGGCCAGGTTGGAAGAAGTGTGTCGGTGGAGATTGGCGTTTAGAGTTTCAAAGACTCCTGCCCTTTCTAGTCTGCACTCTGCTTCTTGGTTATGATTTAAGATGTGAGCCCTTGGCTTGCTGCTCCAGCCACCATGCCTGCTGCCTGCTGCCTCTGCTCTGCTGTCACAGACTGTAACATCTAGTAACCCTGAAACTGTAAGCCCAAATAAGCTT